CTTCCCTACAGAAAGATGTTCTCAGGTTGCAGCTACCCTGAAAAAAATAACTTTCCAGAATTTGAATACTTTTAAAGAAAGTATTTCTAACCCAGCAGCACATTAGTATGTCCTTGAGGACAGAGCAAGACAAATACATATCACATATTACTGTGCTCTTAGAATTAAACAGCAAGGGAGAATAATAGTGGCAGTGTAAGTCCTAGTGAGAGGAATTCTTCAGCAATGGAAAGCTGCAGCGTTTTAGAGATACCTCTGCTCTCTTATGAGAGTTTTATACAAGAGTAACATGCTGTACTACTGGTACCTTAGAGAGGGATATATCCTTCAAAACCTTTTCTTCAAGACAACTTCTGGGACCTTTTCTCAAAAAGAGGGTCAGAGCCACAACCAAATGATTAGAAGTCTGAAAAGATTTCTTGATGGGGAGAGAGAGTCATGAAAGGGACCACAGAGCTTAGAGAATTATTGAATAAGAGGGTATTCAGCAAATGTAGGTTAAATAATGAAAGATACAGAGAAAACAGGCACTCTGTATTTAGTCTGTATTATAACTGACTTTTGATGAAACTAAAGTGTAACAGCACATAATTAGCTGGTGGAACCCCTGGCTTTTATACGGTTGGAAGACAAATCTAGAATATTGTGAAAATCAGCTTCCCAGTTGTTTTGGAATAGCTATTTCTCAATACTTCTCACAAAACATCTTTCACTCTTTAATAAAATTGTAATTGAAAATACTATAAAAGTGGTGTGATTCCATGGATCAGCTACAGATCTCTTACCATTATGATTTGGAAATGAATAACAGATTATAAAAACATTAAATGTTTTATTAGAGAAGGGAATTATGTTTACATTTCATGGCATGTCAAACAGTGGCTGAGAAGAGACGAGGAAGAAACTTTCAACTCATTTCCCCTGCCTTCCCCGGACAACGTGTTCTGACAGCCTGTCCTGGAGTTCTATCCGTCATCCTCCAGATCACCTCCCGACAGCCAGATCAGATCAGATGCAGCATGCCAAACTCCGTGACACATTATGACACTCCTATGTGACCATGCTAACGCACTTGCAAAACTGTATGGACTTACAGAACACATTAATGAGGTTTTCCTTAGAGACTTCCTCTTCAAATTTAAGATTACACACACTGTTTACAGTGTAGAAGGTCACCAGAATGGAATTTAACTATCTTAGCCATTTGAAAAACATTGCAATTTCTTGGACATTTAACAAGGTTTCCAAAGATTTTATATGGGTCAAAGGGAGGGAAAGTGCTTCTAAGATACTTTTTAAGATAATACTTCCATTCCGCTTAGAATGGAAACTGCCTTTCTGACACCTAAAGCTGCCGAGTTCTTGATCTGCTTTTCTTCAGGTTGAGAATCCATTAATGGATGAACACCTTCTCAAAGTGGGTTATGTGCTTTTTACACTTCATGCACATGGCCTCGGGTACTTCCAGATGCTTTGGATGCTTTTGATGTGTGATTCATTCATGGGCCCTTGACTTCAAGAACGGCAGAGTACAGTACTGAGAGGTAAAGGCAAAGCACACTGAACTCTCAGTCTGTGGATCTGGGGGCATTATTCTGGCATCTGAGGGAGTTGTTGCAGAATTCCGTGATTTTTTTTCAAGGTGCTTTGAGGAGCACATGGAACAAAAGCCCTCAAATTTTACAGAAGTACTGTTCTTCTGAGATTCATTTAAAACAAATTTAAAATCCTGAACTTCCTATCTTGCCTGCTCTAGCAGCAACATTTTCTCTAAGGTCATTACCAGATGACTAGAAAGTTTTGTTTACCTTTCAGTATACTCAAACAAGATAGATTCTGTTTCAGGAAGATGGGGGGGCTTGTCATGGGAAGTGCTCATTGAAAGATGCTTATATTTTCTCAGTAGGAAAGGCTTTCCAGGGTGTTTGGTGGTGTCATAAGAGAAGGTTGATAGGAACAAATACATGTTCAGATAGCACATATTCTTTGAGTGAAAGTCTAACTTCTCAGTTACAAAGCAAGCATAGAACATACTTTTTGTATTTTGTATTTCATCACTGAATCAAAGATAGTTTAAAAAGATAATTCCCAAGTAAACTGAAGAAGGTGAACTGAACTGCCTAAAAACCAGTGCAAGAATGATACCTTTTTTCAAAATTAACTCCAGAGCAAAAGGAACAAAATGCTCCTCTTAAAATCCCAAGCATCAAGTTCTTTCTCTGAAGTTCAAACTAACTTCGCCATACGTCCTTCTTCTTATGAAATTGATACTTAGTAAACCATATAAATTTGTTTGTGTCTGTTTTCAGTGGAGACCTAGAAAGACCAAGCTCATTTGCTTTGCGCAGCCACAAAGGGAGACCACACCATTTGCCAGAACAGAAATAATTTTTCCTTATTATATTGCAGCATGCTGGTTGTTGTACTGGTTGCCATTACTAGATGACAAATAAACTCATTTCTTCTATTATTCCTTCCCCAAACCACTGTATTGTAGTTCTGCAATACCCAACCATAATTAAACAATATTGGTTTTACGTATCTTAACTGTCCAGCTGGTTGAAGAGCTTGGTGACTCCTAGAGAAAGTGTGGCAATGGTAAGGAAAGACCAAATGATAAAAAAAAATTCCATAATTAAGATGGTGTTTTGTGGAGTGTGTGACAGAAATCACACAAAAAAATCATTCCACAGAAATGTTAAAAACCTTTGAGATATAAATAAGTTATTTAGGCACAGTTTTATGTGAACTTGAATATGATATGTGTGATTTTATATATATATATATATATATATATATATAAGTATATATCCCAGAAAATCTGTAGATAATGTACAGAAATGATAACTATCACTGGATAAAAACCACTTCAGACTAGTAAAAAAAAATCTGAACAAATCCTGAACCACCCAAGAAAGGGTACACAGCTCTGACAGATCCCTTAGTACAGATGGTGAGAGTAAAACATATCCACATGATAATCACATCCTCACCAAAATTGAAAACGTATGTGAGACTCATGGTGGTCTTGCAAAAATATAGACTCATAAATGATTTCTTGATTTGGTGTCATCATTCATTTCTTTCATTTGAGGAATCAGTTTTAGTAGGCCATACAAAGATTGATGGCTTTTTCATAAAAGGATATTTTATGAAATACTGAAATGTAGCATATTTCTACCTGATAAATGCAGAGACCTGTAAACTTTGAACCCACACTGGCCTTTGTTGCTCATGACCCTGTTTAAGTGATTTATTTTCTTTTAACAACTGCAGTCTGCAGGAGGTAGAATATACTGTGTAGATCTTTAATTCTGTTGAAAATTGAACAGTTTAAACAGAACGGCTGACATTAGAAGACCCATTACTGAAAAGTCATATTATCTGCATTTCAGTATCCCTTTTAGGGGCAATATTTATGGTTAGAGAAAACACATCATTTATAAAAACAGACTGGTAGGCTTCTGCAGAGCAATGGAGGAGATGGCATCCTTGGCCCCACATCAAGGTGTCTGGAGGATGAGATCAAAGCTAGAGACTCTGGAAACCTGGCATCTGTAAAGGTATAAAACCAGGAAACTTGTCCATAGCATAGATGAACATCTCGAGGGAGCTGAACACTCCCCAGCCTTGTGAAACATTTAGATTTCAAAGATTTAGCAAATTCCAAGGAAATAATACTCTGCTAGAATTTGTCTGCCACCTCTAAATACAATGGCAGTTTTATCTTTCAGTTAAATGAATTCAGGTTTTTTTACCCTTCCCTTCACTGCTTTTTATCTGTATTTTGTCAATGTGCAACAAAGTCCAAAGCTTCATAAACATCTTTCCTACTCCTTGGTATGAATGTCCATGGAAGGTAAGCAGATCAGTCCTCTTCCATGTGTAGGGAAACATCACCTCAAATCCAAAACATTTTGCATACAGGGAGTCCAACCTTGTTTCATAACAGTGGGGACTTCTGTCAGGTAGTTTCCCCAGCAGCATGCCACTCTACTGCTCTGTGAATCTTTAGATGACTGACCTACAAAATCTGAGAAGGCTTTAATATGTATCTCTGCATTATTGCATAGTGCCCAAGACTCCATCTTATAAAATGAAATTGATATGATCAGAGAAATTAATAATGCTTTTTAAAATTCTGTTTTGAAGTTATTCATTCATGAAACAAGCTTCTTAGGTGAATCAAATTCTGTGTTTGTGAAACATCTCATGAATATATGGTGCTGTACTAAAAATAATAAATGTTTAAAGCTCCCCCATTTTTCTTTACTCTTAGTTATTAGAAATAAATCTTATGAAGCAGATAAAAGTATTACAATTAATCCCTCCTCAATACAGTATGTACTTCTCTTTTCAATACAAGAGAAGCTGGCTTTGACAGCCACAGAAGTGGCAACAACTGGCAAACTGATTTTATAATTTTGATTTATTAAATATTAGGAAATAGACTTTTTTAATAACAACTCCATTTAAGTATTCATTAAAATGGAATTAGTACAAGCAGGGCCAGATTCTGATATCCATATTCTTGTCAGAAAGCATTTTATTACATAAAAGTCTTACTGACATGAGTGGGATTACTTGTAAAAGACCATTCTGCATGAGTGAGAACACAGAGCTAGATCCTACCAGGGTACAGATGACCACTGAGGTTTTAGGTGCCCCTCCCTGATCCCAAAAGTACCCCACACACCCTTCAGCAATGGCTGGAGCCACATGTAATTATATGGCTGAGGCACCTCATTTATGCTGGTACACATCAACTCATGGATCTCACCAACACAAACTCAGATTCACCTTGTCCCTGCCCCAGGTATATTGGACATGAAACATACATCTTCATCTTCATGAAATAAATAATTCCCAAAAGCTGGTTATTTAGCTTTAGACCTACCTTGTGCTAGATATTTATCTTCATAGCTGTTTCAGTTTGAGCAAGGTTGACCTGAAGAATGCATAGCACATCTTGCCATAAAAAAGCCCTATGAAAATGAATTTTGATTTATAAGAAAAATCACTCAGAAGGAAAAAAAAAGTGGGCTACAGTAATGGGTCTTATTAAAGGCTCAAGATGGCATACTCTATTTCTCTGGATTAAATAGCAGAAAGGAAGACCATCTTGCATTTTTGTTTTGTACACTCCTGATTTAAATATATACATAAAGAAATTACAGTAAAATCTTGTGATGGCGCTGGGTAAAAAGAACTGGCTTAGTTATAAATACTATTGATAGTCAGAAAAAGCATATGTATTTTTGCAGACACAACCCCAAATATCTCTCAAATTCTGAGTACTGTCCTGTACTATCTTTCTTTATTCAGTAATCTCTGTAATTAGCAGGGAAGGAGGCTGGAAAATGTGACCATTATGTAGACAGCAGTAATGTATGAGCAAATGGCAAAAAACCTAATTTACCTTTTATTCAAAATCATTTGGCAACTGATTTTGAAAATAATCTTTAGTATATACTCTGTAATTTTATATTTTCATTATATACACAGGTCATATGTGGAATACACTTCTACTCCTTGATAAGGTGAACACAGAATCAGTACTGACAGCAAATACTTCACAGTCTATTTGGTGTACATAGAGCCCTTCTTCCTCTAAAAGGCTGCTGTTTCTGAAGAATGCCTTAGCAGAAAACACATTTGCCAATAGAAAATATGGTCAAAGCCAAATTGGTTTAATTATTTTTTAAAATCTAAAAAAAGGTTTATTTTTTTGTGAGTATAATTAGTAAACAGACTACTTACAATTGTTTTACTTTAGTTTAAAAACTAGCCAACACTGAAGGATTCTATTAAATAGTTCTCAAAGGTCAGACTTGAAAGCTTAAACTTCAGGTTGTACTGAGATAAAGGCACTGTGCTTTGCAAAGTTATGCTATTATCCCTGGTTATAATCTTCACTGACTTCAGAAATAATTGCTTTCCTTAAACAAAAGGAAGTCTGATTCTAATTTGCTATCTAGATCTACATTCTTATATTCTTTTTATAGATTTTTGAACAAGTTATCACTGGAAATCTTCCTTCACTCAAACATAAGTGAAAGTTTTATCTTACTTCAGGCATCACCAAAATAATTTATGACTAAGGAAACAAAACCTTTTGTCTCACAATATATTTCTTTGCGACAGCTGTGGTATTTCACTGAAAGCACAAAAGCTGTGATGGTCTGGACTGCAATCAACCATTTTTAATAGGAAATTTTTACAGACTTTTAATAAGATCTCCTAACGTAATTTATGGGGAGAGGTTTTGAAGTGAAGAGGCATTGTTTGGCAAAGTGTTCTTCCTCTAATCTCAGGAAATTTAAATAATCGAGTGCTCATTTCCTCTAAATTTAAGATTTCTCAAAAAAATGGTTAAGAATAACACCTGCTACATTAGCAGCAAAATAAGTACATTTAGAGTCCAAACAAAATATATTTCTAAAGGTTTTTCAAAGGCAAAATTAATCATGGCAGAACCAAATATTGCTAATAATGACACAATATTGAATTCTACTTCTTAAACTCAGGATATATAACAAATGCGTTGAATGAAGATAGCATGCTGGTCAGGATAAATGCAGGTATTTTGGGGGGAGAATTGGAGTAAGTGGGCAAATGCAGAGAATTTACAGTTTGTAAGAAAACCAGATAAGCACCTGAAAGTTACTGTACTTTCTGAAGTCATCCAGAGTTCCTCCAACTACAGAGCTTAGTTGGAAGAATAAGGACAACAGGCTTCCTCCTGAGATCTCTGCTACGCCTTCTGAGAAGAGATTTTCCCTTTAGTGTCAGCCAGAACTAGTGAAAAACCAGAAACATAAGTAGGAAGCACATTTTTATATATCGATAAAGCTAAGCAAAGCTGCTGAATCTGAAACAGATTAAGTTTGGCTCATTGGGGTTTTGATTGAAGTTCTTAATTATTTTTTAACCTGAAGAACTTGTTGTCCATAATTCTGTCTTAAATTAAAAGCTGACTTAATTGTGTTCCCCCAGACTAGGTCTGAACTTCTCTCCCAAAGGACAGAAAAAGAGAGGGAAAACTCTTAAAGGAAGGACTTAGGGACGCCTCAGGTACAGCCACACTACCCGGCATTTGTTCAGGTCACTGTGTGCCCAAGACCTCAAGAGGGCACTCAGCACAAAAAGTACTACAGTACAGGAATGAAAAGGTCTATAGCTGCCATCAGCCAGTTTTCACAGAAGGCAGTTATCCTTACCCAGTTCTCCTGAGTCACCTCATCTTTCATCTCATCACTACAGATACCGAGGTATAAAAAAAAAAGAAAAAAAAAACAACTCTGAAAAATAAAAATTATATGATCATAAACTCTGTACTTCGTTTCTATATTAAGAATCTGTTTCATCAATGCTTTTAACAAAAAGTGGTCAGTTTCTAGAGCAAATTCTAAATACTTTACTTTCAAAAGCTGTCTGGGGATTTCAAAGAGCTACTGCCTCCATAAAGAATGCTTTTAAGATGTGCCACCTGGATAACTTTGTTCTCTTCAGTCACTATGTTCCAAATACACAGGACAGAATGCCACTTCTGCAGCCTCCACCTCTCTTTCTCTCCCTCTGGTTTGCCTACAGAATCAAAACAAAACAGTTTATAGTGGGTGCCAGCTGAGACTTGGATGTTTCTTTCTCCATGTGTATACATACAAACATACACACACAGTCCCACACCCCTCAGCCATTTGTGAAACTGCAAGTGACCTCCTTCGGGGTTCCTTCTGTTGCCTGGCCCTGAGGCACTGCTCCACCCCAGCCTGCAGGGCAGTGCCTGGCTGAGGCTGAGGCTCCCCAGCCCTACTGCACCCACCCTGGCAGCCCCCGCTGGAGCTTTAACCCCATCCACGCCCCGTTTCTGACCTGACTTCGCAAGCTGCAGGCAGGGCTATAAACAACTGCCTCATTTCCACAGAAATGTCATCATTCCAATAAAACTGTAACCCATTCTTCCACTACATCCTCTTTACATTGGTAGGTTCACAAAACATATACTGCCCCCTTTATATTCAAAGTGGACTTCCTGATGCACAAGTTCAGATCCCAGCTATCACCTATCATCTCAATTCATCTGGGACAAATAAAGTATCATGCAACATACCATATGTGGATATTTCAGCAGAGCTCTTTAGAGTCATGTCCTGTCTACCCAGCATGATCAATGGTTATTTTATTTTTTTATATTTAGCATAATATACAACAAACCTCCACCTGGGTGCACTACCTAAACAAAAAGCAGGCAGTGAGGTTGGGAGTCAATGCCTGATGCAACTTGTGTTATTTATTCATTTATATACCCTGGGGTACCTGAGACATCTGCATCAGGCATCTCAGGCACAGTGTGGCATTTATAGGAGACTCATGGCACCCTGCAGCTATGCACGATATCCCAGATACTGGGCACCTGAATTGTCTCCTAAAGATCTGTGCAAATCAAAGGGATGATATATCCCTATGCCCCCAGCATGCTGGCTGCCAAGTTACCTTTCTTCTCTCCGCAGTATATTAAGCAGTCCTAGACAAAAGTCATCTGGACGTTAGAAAGGTTTAGACACTCATCCTCTGAAAATCAGATCCCTTTCCAGATTAGGCACATAAAAGAGAAATCCATCTCTATATCCACCTATACGTTCTAGAATGCTGGCCTACAAAATACTTGTAAAACTATCAATCGGGTAGTACTAACATATTAAAAAGACTTTTAGTGAAAAGAATGCACCAGTTAAATAGGGATTTTATTTAAAAAATACTGCTCAAGCTGGAATAAATTCATTAGCCAGGATTTGGATGATAGAAAAATTAAGAGTTTAACCATTATTCAGAAGTAATACAAGCATGTAGATGATCAAAACTAATTTGAGTCATGGACTTTATGAAAGACAGTGTGCGCCTTTATCGGGTTTGTTGTACCCAGTGCTGTGGAAACTCACAAGCAGGCGCCTCCCCTGCTCTGGCTCAGACTCTGTAATTAAGTCTAGTCACTACTTAGTCAGGTTTGTAGGTGAGAAAAAAAAACAGAAAAGGGATGTTTGTGTACAGGATTCTTACTGACTTTAAAAAGTTAGGTAAGTTTTTAAGAGATACTTTTATTTGTCTCTGCAAACTATGGTGGGTATAATGATAGTAAGGTGATAGGACTAATAATTAATTCAACCCCTACTGATAAAAGGTGGAAACTGCTGGTGCTCCCAATATCTTCTACATATTTTATATAAAACCAACATTAGAAACAGTTCCCGAAAAGTTTGGTGATCCAAAACAAAAGCAGGTGATAGAATCATGCTATGTGTGTAAGACGTGATACAAACGTGTAAAACTCAGCACACAGAGCTAAAAAATGCAAAGGCTGTACTACAAGCTCACCATATTCCCCCAAACCTCAGGCTGGGTCTTTGATTCCTGCAACCCCAAGCCTAACCCAGTAACTCCACGGCAGAATTCAGTTTTTTCAGCTTTTGCAGGAGGGGTGGCACTCGCAGTCACTGGCCAGTGGAGCTGAATCCAGCAAGACTTGTTTTCCTGAGGAATTAAGAATTTCCACAGGGAATTTCCAAGACAACAAAAATAGCATCTGCTGGGTTTTAAGCACAGCAGCTGTCTGGAGTGGCATCCTTTAGTCTAGCCATCCCTTGAGTTTGTTATCAGTTGCTAGGTTTTTCTGGTTTCCTGCCAATATATTGGCAAACCTCTTTGAAAAATCCAAGGCTGCCATTAACATTCAACCAGTCTCTGGTTTGTGTAAATTATTTCTAAACGTAAACCACTGAGAACACCAAATGACACCATTAAGCCCTCTTTTTATTTGTGTTTCCATATTTATTCCTAATATCTCCTTTGCAAAACTGGGGCTAAATGAGTGTTTTCGCCAACAGCAGAGCAAGGCACTTTTTGCTAAGCAGTGTCAACATTAGGAAGGCACTCAGTGGCATGATCAGTAAGTCAGTAACTTTTCTGATATTGCAGATTATTTATTTAAACTCTTGAAGCACAGAACACTACCTCCAGGCCCTGTGTAGCTCATGTAATTATTTCCTATCAGGGACTTGACTTCAAGGCCATCCACAAAGCCTTCTCTCAAAACCTTGCAGCTCTTATTAAATGAGTTATTAAATAATTAATTATTCAGAAAATAATTAACCCAAATAGTCGTGAACCTGCATAAGTGTACTCTAAATTTCTGTATCCACTGAATGCTTAGCATAAGTCACAGGGAAGATTTCTTGTAGTTTTCTTTTTCCCAGCTTTCATTTTAGCCTTTGAAATGTCAGGAAAAGTCAAGCTATGTGCCTGCTGCTGTGCCAGAGCTGTTGAATAGATTTCATATTCTTTGGGTGGAAAAGCACGCAATACACTGGTAACACCAAGTCTCAATTCATTACTTTCAGTTGGAGTATGAGCTCAGGTGGCAAGACAAAATTAAGCAACAGCTTACTTGTGTCTGGTGAGGAACTCTTGCCCTTTCTCTGACCACATTCCACTCTCAACATATCAAAGCTGCGTCTATTATTTAAACTTTTCCAGAAAAAAGGACTATGTAAGAACTCAGCCTGGTTGGTTGTTTTCTGGGTAGTTTGTTGGTTTTTGGTTTTTTTTTTTGTTTGTTTTTTTTTCCGGGGGCTGGAAATAAAACTTTTAGACGGAAAGGGAAAAGAAACGTTTTTCTTTCCACGTGGGATCAGTGGAACACCAGCCGCACCCAGGCACAAGCACCCATGGGGATACCTGGCTGAAGGCGGCCAGCTACTCCCTTCTGCGCCACACAGGAGCACTGAAGCGGCGCTGCCCGCTGCCACGAGCACACCGTGAGGCGGACTCCAGGGCCGCGGAGGGCCCGGACAGCCCCGTGCGGAGCGAGGCACGGCCAGACGCTCGTGCTTCCCGCCGCCCACCTCACAGCCAACGGCCGAAGCCGACCCCGCCCAGCTGCGCGCGACGGGCGGGGAGGAGCTCGAGAGACCCGCTCCCAGAGGCGGAGAAGGGGAAGCGGAAGTGGCCGGCGCGCGGTGCCGGAAGTGGCGGTGCCTTTCCGGTGCGGGCGGCGTGCTCAGGTCGGCAGCGGCAGCCTCTGTAGCCATGAGTGTCCCGGCCTTCATCGACATCACGGAGGAGGATCAGGTCGGGGAGCGGAGCGGGGAGGCCGGGGCGGGGAAGCGGGTCCGGGCTGCGGAGGCCTGCGCGGGGCGGGAGGAGCGGGGCCCGGGCCCGAGCCCGAGCCCGAGCCCGACAGATAAGTGTGTGGCTGTAGCGTCCCTCTTCCAGTCCTTCATCTCTCGGGACTTTGGCCTCATCTCCCCTCAGGAGTACACTTTTATTTAGGAGAGGGAAACTAGTTCAGGTGCGGGCTGGAGCGTTCCTATGAGGCTGGGAGCGCCACAGGCATGGGAACTGTGGGGTTTCTCTGTAAGATCTTTTTTTGTTTCGTATTTGAGTTGTAGGGTTTGTTGTTTCCAGTGTCTTTTAAAAGCAATGTGTATGTATACACAGAAATCTTCAGGAACTGCATACGCAACTGCAAGTCTTCAGTTTTCACTTGCCAAAACATCTAGTAAATACCCATCTGAAACATCTCCAGTACCGTAAAGGGTCCTAGAGCATTCAGCTGTGTCTTATGGTTCTGTAATGAATTGACATTGAGCTTGATGTCAGCGACGCATGGTGTCAGGGTAGCAGCCTGGTTGGAGTCCCCCTCTGCCAAAAGTTGTGTGGCCTCATTCAGATTGCTTCTGAGGGATTGTGCGTTGTGGTTCTGCTGCTAAAGCCATGGGTGAATGTGAATGTGTAGGCCTGTTGCTGAGGGAAAGATATTTCTTGGTGTAGGCTTAAGTTCTAACAAGGTAAGGTGGGTCATCGCATGGCAGTGGGAACTGGCTCTGACTTGTGTGAAGAAGTAAGTTCTGCTTCCTCTGAAGTGGTTTGGTTTATACCCTTTTTTTTTTTTTCTGGTGAAGAGACAAACTAAATGGTTTTATTGTTTTGCCTGAAGTTTCAAAGGCTGTGAAAGATAAAAAAGATTAAAAAGGAAAGCATCTTTGTGATGAAAACTTACTAGGCCTGCTGTGCTCTAGCTACCCATAAGTGACATGTTCATACTGTGAGAAAGCTCAACAGTTATGTGGTCTGTTCAGTTACTGCACCATCTTATGCTGGGTCAATGTTTGGGATTTGGGTGCCTTAAAGTGGAGGAGAGGGAGTATTGTAGGATACAAGGCAAGTAGAGGAAAGTGAGAGGAAGTGTGAGCAAGTGGTGGGAGCAAAGGAGTGGCTGGAGAACAAAAGTCATCAAGAAATTTCATTACTTTGACTTTGCCCTTCACAAACTTTTGTGTGTGTTGTCTTTGTTTTTTGTTTTAAGGCTGCAGAACTTCGAGCTTACCTGAAATCCAAAGGAGCAGAAATCTCTGAAGAAAACGCTGAAGGTGGACTTCATGTGGACTTGGCACAGATCATTGAATTTTGTGATGTGTGCTTGAAAGAAGATGACAAAGGTTTGCATCATTAAATCTTGCTGGTTTTGCTAAACATACTGCCATCAGTGCTTTCAAACAGTAATGGTTGGCAGAATTTAGAGGTATGTTGCCTGCCTTGCATGTTAACGTGCATCTTTATAAAACTGGAAATGCTTATTTCGTCATTACCGTGTAAAATTTGCATGAGTGCTGCCCCTCCCTTTCCAATCATCTAGCACCCTTTGAAGGAGTCAGGAGTTGAGCTAGACTG